CAATCCAAGACGCTGGGAACCGCAGGAGTGGGGGGGTGGGGGAGAGAAGGCTCTTGGGATCGGGTCCTGCTTGCGGGTTTCCCACTGAGGCGCCACAAGAACCGCATGCCAGATTAGACGCTTGGACTACTGCCATGCGCTCTCCGTGGGGCTACCTTTGAAGGCGACCCGGAAACTACAACTAATCCAGAATGTGGCAGCCAGACTGGTGACTGGGAGCGGCCTCTGAGACCACATAACACCGGTCCTGAAATACCTACATTGGCTCCCAGGACGTTTCCGAGCACAATTCAAAGGGTTGGTGCTGACATTTAAAGCCCTAAACGGCCCAGTATACCTGAAGGAGCATCTCCAGCCCCATCGTCCAGCCCGGACACCTGGGTCCAGCTCCCGAGGGCCTTCTGGCGGTTCCCTCCCTGCCAGAAGTAAGGTTACAGGGAACCAGGCAGAGGGCCTTCTTGGTGGTGGCGCCTGCCCTGTGGAACACCCTCCCGTCAGCTGTCAAGGAAATAAACAACTACCAGACTTTTAGAAGACATCTGAAGGCAGCCCTGTTTAGGGAAGCTTTTAATATTTGATGCATTACTGTATTTTAATATTTTGTTGGAAGCCGCCCAGAGTGGCTGGAGAAGCCCAGCCAGATGGGGGGCGGGGTATAAATAATAAAATATTATTATTATTATTAGCATGCTGGCGGATCCAGCTCGGGAAGAGGCAGGCGGAAGGAGAGTGCCCAGGGGTCTCTTAAATCCCATTCAGATGAAGGCCTAAGGAACTCGTCCGACACACACACACACACACACACACACCTGCCTTGAGGGGATTACCGTTTGCATTGCGTCTCTAACTTTCTCCGCCTTCCTCTCCCAAACGTTGGAATCTGGGCTCCCTTGGCCAAAAAAGTGTGTGGGTGTGAAAGGGGAAAAAAGGGAAGTGAGAGAGAGAGAGGGAGAGAGAGAGAAGATTTAACTTTAAATCAATTCAACTTGCTGCATTATAACATGGCACGTGTGAATAGTATGGCACGTATCAGTGTGTGTGTGTGTTTCTTACAAAAATATCTAACATGGACGAGCGACGTTTTTTTCTTACCTGCGTCTGCACCTAACTTAGCGATCATGCTCGTTTTGCTTCTCATAAGGAATATTAACTAGGACGACGCATTTGGAGCCAAATTTCTGAAGGGATCCAAGGTGCGGGGGAACCTGCGGCCCGCCCAGTTGACCCGCGTCCGCCTTCTTTCCTCCAAACTTTTCCTAGACCGTCCCTCCTCCTCCCCACCCCCCACGCCCAAAGAAAGGAAAAACCATCGCGTAATAAAACTCATTTTTGAGTTCAGATTCCCAGCGTTTCTAGGGCTTCAACAGGAGACTGGGGGGGAAAGGGCTGCGCCCGGCTAAGTCCCACTCAGAGTAGACCCATTGAAAATCAATGGGCTTCAAAGGCAGGCGCGCCCATTGATTTTAATGAGTCTTTGGACACATGAAGAAAGAAAGGAAAAAAGCGAACGGGCTGTATCCAAGAGATTTATATTGGAGTGATTTAGTTTTTTTAAAAAAAGGATCGCAGAGTTTTTATTTGTTTATATTTGAAGGAACACATTAGTAATAGTAATAGCAATAAAACAACAAAAATAATAATTCATAGTTGGAGAACAGGCATTTCAAATTCCTCGGATTCTTCTACAATCCGCTTGGTTTGTTTTCCTTCATTTCAGGGGATGAGATCTGAAAAACACATTTGCTTAGGACTGGTCGCAATGGGGTAGTCCTACTCCGAGTAGATTGATTTGGATTCAGCGAGACTGACTTTTTAAAATAATAATAATAATAATAATAATAATAATAATAATAATAAACTTTTTGCAAAGGAGAACCGTACAGATCTGCTAACCTCCCACCCAGCAAGGCTGCAATCCGAGAAGCGCTTCAGCCGGAGCAAAACGCGCGGAGCGCAGCGAGGCTTACTTCAGGGTAAACTACGCTTAGGGAATCGGTTTTCGGGGCTGCTGCCTCCCCGCTTTTTACACTCAGCGACTAGGGACGGAATCTTGCGCATCTCTACTCAAAAGTAAGCCTCGCTGTCTTCACTGGCGCGCAGCGCCAAAAACCGCCGGGTAGGTCCTTTAAAAAAATAAAAAATAAAAAGGGAATCCTATTTAGAGTAAGTCCACTGAAGGTGACGGAGCTAAGCAAGCAATTTCTTTTTATTTCATGGGTCCGCTCTGAATACGGCTAAACGCTAGATACTTCTGAATAAACCTGACCACAGATCTGCTTTTGGAAGTTGCGGACGGGCGCAATAGTTTAATACTCAAAAGTCATTTCGCACGGAAGCTGGGGATCTAGAGAAATAAGCTATAATCCTTAAAAAAACCCAAAACCCTTTAACTTTGGAGTAAAGCCCAATTCAACATATTGGGACTTCTGAAAACTGGAAAACGCCATTCATCCTTTTAAACTTAAACAAACCTTGCAAAGTGATGTCGAAGCGTTTATCGTTACCATCACCATTAATACGAAAAACAGGTGGCGTGCGTTCAGTTACATTCTGAGTAGACCCACTGGAATTAATGAACCTTAGTGGGGAGGGGTCATGCTCTTTGATTCCAGCGGGTCTTCTCTGAGGAGGAGTAATGTTGGGTATAAAGTCATATTCTTTCGTCATCTCCACCTGAACACAGTGTAAGGACTTTGGCGCAGTGAGCGCAAGTGGCGGCGATAGGATCACCCGCAGTCGGGCAACGCCTTTTATCGGGACCCCCTCATCCGCCGCAGAAATGTGGCAAGCTTTCAGCTCCTGCAGAGCTCTTCTTCAGGCTCAGCGTTGCGCCAAGAGGGAGTTGCGCTGCGGCCTTGAGCGCAGACTGCGTTATCTCTCCATCCCTAAGCTGGTCTCAATAGCTTCAACAATCAGTCTGATTATTATTTGCGCTTCTTCCCTCTGTTTTCTTTTAAAGATTATTTTTCTTCTCCCTTCCTCCCTGCTCGCCTGAGGAAGAACTCTGTAGAACCCGAAAGCCCTCCGCACTTCTTGTGACATTTTGGAGGGTCGCAATAAATATTAAACTCCTCCGCGCAGCGCCTGATTTTCTGTCGCGCATCCAAAAATACCGAGAAACTTAAAGTCCAGGAAAGTCTAGCTAGGAAGTTTTGCGATCACCACGGAGGAAAGGGAGCGCGGAGGTGGGGGGGGGGTGAGGTTGGAAATTCGACGAGATTTTGGAAGGAAAGGGAGATCCGTTCCTAACAAGCCCTGCTTTGTAAAAGAAAGAAAGAAAGAAAGAAAGAGAAAATAAAAGAAAGAAAGAAAGTTTGGGTGCCTGTGTTGAGATTTGTGATTGCAAGTAACTCTAGTCGTGCCGAGACCAGACGCCTTGAAATTAAAGGGCAAGCCTCATTTAAGCCCATTAACGTAAATGGGCCTACTCTGAGTAGGGCTTAGTTAGCCATAACGCACTCTATGTATCTACGAGCACAGGGTATATATATATCTATATTCCCCGATACATGACACTGCAGGAAAGTTTTGCCATTGGGCGCCCAGTTTTCTTAAACTGTAACCTCCTCGCGCGCAGAGACCCTTCCCTCTTTCTCCAACTCTTCCCCAGCCCCTTACAGATAACGCCAACCCTGTACATGCAGAAATAGATCCCAAGGTGCATATTAAATCTATCTAATTTAGAATCCAGTAAAGGCCGGGACACGATCCAGCAGCTCCTTTGCTCCTAGACACGCTTCCCTCCTTCCCACTGAGCTTCACCAGGCTCGCTTCCGGTGGGAAAGTTAACCGTGTCTACTCTGAAGCAAACGCAGTTGAATCCAACGGGCCTTACTCCCAGGTACGGGGGAGAGGGGAGAGTTAGGACAGCAGCCTTCAAGCCCCATTTAAAGCAGAAATCTTCTGCTTAAATCTGAACAGGATCCTTCCCCAAATCACCAGCCAGGTACCGGCTTATTCCATCTTAAAAGAACGGCAGCTTTCCTTCTCTCAGGTATACAAATTGGGAAGGGGGTTAAGTTCGGCTGGAATCTGTTACGTGCAAAATTATATTGTAGTTCTCAAGTAGTCCGGGGGTGGGGTGGGAGAATTGTCCGAAGTTCAGCCTACACTCGAGTAGGACCCTGACAGGGGCCTTCCAGTTTTCAAACGTGGGAGAACGGAGGGGGGAAAAAACATTTCAGTGTACTCCAATTCTCCTCACATGTTAAAAGGGCATCTTATAGGAACCCTATGTGGATTTAAGATTTTATATATTCTTGGGAAGAAACATGGTCTAAAGTTTGCAATCCTTACCCCCTTGAACCTGGGAGTAAGCTCCCTTGAATTCAGCAGGGCTTACTTCTGAGTAGACCGGCTTAGACTTGCGCTGTATACCCGGACGTCTTCCAGCAAACCTTAAGACCACAGGAAGGACTGTCGCGCTTGGAAAGACTACGCTCCATTTTCGTGCCAGTGGCAATCGCAGACTCGGGGCCCTGACGCCCAAACAAAAAGTTTAAAGTAATCTAATTAAATAATATTTTTTTAAAAATTGCAAAAGAAATCAAGAAACCCCGTGCATTAATGTTGGGTATTTTTTAATTGTCCAACGCGGGGATTTGGGGGCGATCGTTGCTGTTGCAAAATTTCCACATTTCCATATATTACCATTATTGCCCAGATTTCCATATAATACACACCAACGCGGGGAGGATGTCTCGGAAGTGATTCTGTCGTGAGTGGACGACTCGGAAATGTGTGTTAAACTCTATCTATGCGAGTAAATTTTTTATCTAACGACACACGCCGGCTCAAAATCCGGGCGCCTTGCAAGGCACCGACGACTTATACTTCCAAGTAAATTCGCCTTTGATTAATCCGGGAATGAATATAGAACTTTAATCAAGCACCAATAACCGTCTCCAGATTTCTGGTCTGGACGGGAGAATTGCAAACATTTTGGGGTACACTTTGAGGGGGTTCCACTCCTTAAATTAGATATCTGCATAGGTATATAGAAACACACACACACACACACACACACACACAGTCGCCTATGGAGATGTTTGCGTTTCTGACTTCGTGTGTGTGTGTGTGTGTGTGTGTGTGTGTGTGTGTGTGTGTTACCCCGATTTTCTCTCTCCTTTCAGCTTTTCAGCCCTCGGAGATCTTAAATCTTCCCAGGCCTTTGCAACAGAGCAAGTTGATTCTACTCAGAAGTAAAGCCCATTGTTTCCAGTGGGCTTTCCTAGCTCCCTGGTGATTGTGTTCCTTGCTCCTCCCTGGTGAAGGATTGCGAGGCGAGTCGGCCTAAGGTTTAGGAAGGAAGCGGCGGCGGGGTGGGGGTGCGCGGAGGAAAAAGAGATCCCTCCTGCGCTGGGAATCTGCGATCTGGCCTTGACTGATCCTGCGGGGGCAATTCCGTCGCTCCGTTTTAAAACCCCGGTTATTGGCGTTTGATTAAAGTTCTATATTCATTGGAATGGCGATCCATTGATGTTGGGGGTTGTTTTTGCGGGTGGGGGCGGGGACTAGTCTAATAAAATAAAATAAAATAAACCGTACTGTCCCGGCCCCTGGATAAATCTTTGCAATAGTCTTGCTTCGCTCTGGGAAAACTATGAGTCTTGCGAGCGGCGATTTTTTTACGGATAGGTAATCCGCTTTATCTAAATGCAGGTGTGTGTACATCAAAGGATACCCGCTGGAAACATATTTCCCCCGCTTCAGGAACAACAACAATTCGTCTTTTTATTATTCATTACGTTCCGGGGGTTGCAGATAGGACGGTTCAAGTTGCCATCCCATCACACACACACACACACACACACGCTTCCTCGAGAGTAAGCCCCGGTCCAACTTACTTCTGTGACTAGACGGGTCTAAATTTGCACGGTTTGCTGAGGACAAGGGGCTTCCGGCTAAAATACCTACTGAAAGCAACGGGTGTGCATAAGACTATTTAAATATATCCCTCTCTTTTCGCAGGGTGACAAGAAGTCTGGAAGCGACTTGTCCAACAAGTTGGGAAAGCAAAGATACTATATTTAAAAAATGTCCAAAGCAATCAAACCACGAGAAGTTCTAAAAGTGTTTTAGTCCCCGCCCCGCCCCAGCCCCCCGCAACAAATCAATAGGTCGAAAAATATCCTTCTACAAAAATAATAATGAACCACAAAAAAGCCAGGCCAAAAATCAAGCATACTCTAGAGTACGACTTGAGACAGCGCAGCAATAATTATGAGCGTATTTGAATACAGCCCATAATTTAGCTGCACGCGGCCCATAATAATACCAGTGGCTTGTTGTTGAGCCACAGAATAGAGTAGACCCATTGGAATTGATGGGCATGCCTGACTTAGGCCCACTAACTTTATTTTATTATTTAGTTGGAATAATATGATGATGATGATGTTGTCACGCCCAAAAATAACTTCTCCTTCTATCTCTTTCTCTCTGATTCGCTTTTTCCTTTTAGATCCCCTCTCCGGACAAAACTTAATTTTTTTAAAAGGGAAATTTGGTAACAAGGAGCCGGGGCGCGTATGCGTGCGTATATATTGTATATTTTGCCTTTTTTTTCAATTTCCGGGGATGGGTGCTTTCCAACCCTTCCGAGGCGCGCTGACGGCGTCTTAAGCAACCCTCAACCCCATCTGTTTTAGCTATCTCCCCCAAATTTATTTTTAAAAGCGTGACATGTATCTTTGCGACCAGAAAGCAGATTTTAAAAGCGAGGCTGCAAATCCCTCTGCGCGGCTTCGCCAACAGCACAGAGGAAAACCGGATTGAAACCGGATTGGACTGACTTCAGAGCAAACGTGCCTTGAATCGGATCACACACACGCTGCTTCCCTCTGGAGTAGCAGACTTCGCTGCCTCCTCTTCCGTTCTCTCTAAACGCCCCTTTCTGTCCCCTCCCTCCAGCTAAATCGGGCTATAACCCCCCCTAAAACCCCATTTATCTAGGAGGTAAGTCCCCATTCAACCCAACACGGTTTTACTCCTGTGCAAACTTAAGAAAGACCTGGCTGGGAGTTGGGTGCGCTGTCAATCATTACCCTGCCAAAGGCGCCCTTACATCATTCTCCTTTTGTACTTTGTGCAGTTAGAAACCAAAGTCCAAACAAACCTTTCAGGCTTGGCGATCTTGCAGATTATTCCACACACACACACCCGCCTCCCAGCTCCACAAATTCCCCTCTTCCAATCCTCGTGCGCGCGCGCGCACAAACTTCAGGGCAAGCCAGGCTTGATTTCTGACCATCACTTTATTCAACGTTCTGCGCTAGCCAAAGAAAAACTTGAGGTTTGGGGCGAAAAGAGGTTTAAGAGAGCCTCTGGGGGCCGGAACTTGATAGGCTCAGGAATTAGCTGTCGTTCCCTTCCCTTCCCTCCCCCCCCAGCCCCCTTGTTCAGTGCAAGTAAGCTAAAAACAGCAACCACCACCCCCAAAACACGACCCATCGATCGCTTCCCTACAATCTGGAAAGGGCTGCTGGCGCACTCAGAGGGAAGTAACAACCGTCCAAGACGCCACACACGCACACAAACGTAACACACCCCACCATTTCTTAAAATTATCCATCTGCAAACAGAAAAAAGAAAAACGGGATTTCTGCAACCTCACTATCAATTTTACTGCGGCATTGATTTTATTTCTTCCTCTCCCACCTCACCAGTCTGCTTTCCCCGGAAACATTTGAACCACAATTTATTTATTTTTTTGAACCGCAATATTAGCCATTATTTTCCCCACTTGGATGTTCAGTGCGGATAGAGGGTTTAAGTTTAGAGGACCCATAAAGTTAAAAGGGAACGCTTTCTTTCTTTCTTTCTTTCTTTCTTTCTTTCTTTCTTTCTTTCTTTCTTTCTTTCTCTGTCACCTACAATTACACAAACAAAAAATAATTTCCACCCAGTTCCACCAGAGTATTAGGGCCCTGCCGTTCCTCCGGTTTAAGAGTCTCAATCTGGCTCGGTGATTTAACTGTTAGTATTTAATAATAATAATAATAATAATAATAATAATAATAATAATAATAAACCGCGCGCGCGCACTCTCAGAGAAACTGACAAGGCCTTGTAGATTTCACTGGGGGGCGGGGGGGGCTGCGTCGCTTCGCTCTTTTTTAAGGAGAGAGAGAGAGAGAGAGAGAGAGAGAGAGGAGGGGAAAAAATCTCCCCCCCTCTCTGCGTGAAACAGACAAGGGGCTGGTAAATTTCCTTCCGAACAGGCAAGATCCTGCGCCAAATTGATCGGAATGGGAGTTTAATCGATCGGGCTCCGCATCGATCCGCATCGATCCCCTTCCCGTCGCTTAGCAAGCCTGGCGAGCGAGCGCGCGCGCACCCAGCCCCAACTGCAGCAAAAACCAAGGAAAGAATCAATCGGTGGGGTTTATTACGTGTGTTTGTGTGTGTATGTGGCTTAACTTCCATGGGGAAGAAGCAAGTTCCTTGGTTCTTTAAAAAAAAACTTTCTAAATTATTATTTTAACGGCAGAAAGACCCCTAATATGGGGAGGTGTTCGCGCGTCCCGCCTTCTTAAATTGAAGTTGTTGGGTAGTTGACCAGGAACATCCTTGTTGGTTTCGATGGGAATATTCTGAAGGAAATTGGCCTGTTGGTTTCAGCCTTGTGCTTGCAGATAAAAAAAAATCTTTGCAATTAAAAAAAAGAATAAGAGAGAAAGAAAGGTGGGGGAGGAGAATGCAATATCCTTTCAACAGTGCCCTGGTTTCAGTTTTGCTTCTCAGACAGGTATCACAAACGACGCTTTTTGAAGCAGAGCGCGCGCGCGCCTCGATTTATCCACGCGCCCACGCGTAAAAAAGTGCACACTCGAAGTTTCTCTCCAACACAGCGTCCCTGAACTCGCAAACCGCCTCCTTCCTTTCCTCTCTTCCTCTTCTGCCTGCCTCTCTCTAACGGATGATGCCCAAACGCGCATCTTTTGGCTGTGTGTGTGAAACAAACGGTTTCTGTTGCCTACGCTACTCTTTTTTGCGTGTAGGGGAATGGAGAACGGCAGGAGGAATGTTAAAGAACGTGGGCTTTATACTAATAGAGGTTTTTCTTGCTGCATTATCGAGAGCAACAATAACTGGGGTCGTATAAGTCCTGCTCAGAGTAGACCCATTGGGATGAGCAGACTTCTCTAAGGGTCTCAGTTTCAATGGGTTTGGTCTGATGGGTGGCCCCTAAAATTTTGTCCTACTCAGAGTAGACCCACTGATTCATTCATTCCCTTTTTTCCCATATCATTTTTATTAGTTTTGCAATAATACTTTCCATTGGCATATCTCCTCTTATATTACACATTTTGGCTTTTCAGGGCCCTGACTTCCTTCAAACTTTCCTTATGATTTTCTATCTTTCATTTCAAATTTCTGCATTTTCACTATTTAACCATTGCCTTAAAATTAAAAAAAATCATACATTCCTATTCTTATCTGCAGTGGTTTTTGCACCTTTCCTTACAAAGCTTCTTGCAATCGTATCAACGTATTTGATTGAATGCAATTGTCTTCCAAATAATTTACAAATTTGGTCCAGTCCTTGATGAACTTTTGGTCCCGATGTTCTCAGATTCTTCCCATCATTTTGGCCAGTTCCGCACACTCCATTAGCTTCAATTACCATTCTTCCTTTATCAGTAGTTCCTCTTGTTTCCACTAGGGTCATTCATTCCGATGCCCCTTCTCTGAGTAAGGCTGCTTTGGGTACAACTTCTTCTTAATTCTTATTAATTAATTCATATTGACACAATGAATAATAATTGCAATTATAATAAAGTTAAATGTCGGAATATTCAGGACACAAAACAGAAAGCACTTCTTCACATAGCGTTATGGAACAGCTGGTTGCAGGCTTGCATAAGCCTCTCAATATTAGATTCCTGGTAAGTTCCCTTTTAAAAAAGGTAAAGGACCCCTGACAGTTAAGCCCAGTTGCGTACGACTCTGGGGTTGCGGTGCTCATCTCGCTTTACAGACCTAGGGAGCCGACGTTTGTCCTCAGACAGTTTTTCCGGGTCATGTGGCCAGCATGACTAAGCCACTTCTGGCGAAACCAGAGCAGCGCACGGAATCGCCGTTTACCTTCCCGCCAGAGCGGTACC